CCCACCCACCCCATCTCCCTCGTTTTCACTACCGCTGCAAAAGGTATCCTGTATTGATTTCTGGATTTTTCCCCCCTCTTAATAATACCGGCTATAATGATGCCAACGGTGATCAGTGCATTACTACCGGCCTGCTTGGGAAGCGTTGAAGACCCGACAAGAGAATCCATGGATACCTATAGGTGCTTAACGCTAATACCTACCAGGATACCCAGCATGCACACAATTAAGTTATCTCATCACTGCTGCTTTTAATAAGCCCTCCTGTGCGGACTAGGGTGTATCATTAGGTTATTCAGATATAGGAAGACAAGAGCGACCACTGCTGTTGCGAGCATGAGAAATATGAAGCTGGTTTGCAGCCTGAAAGTACACATTTTGTGAATTTGTAACCGGTGTAAAGTAAGTGAGATAAATGCACCATGTATGCATGAGGAATTTATATGTTTGCACTTTAAAATCGTGTTTAAAAACGCACACAATTTACAAATAGAGATACATAAGACCTATAGGTTGTCAGGGGGATGAGCTCCTCCGTGACAGAGGTGATCACCACCTTCCTCTCATCCTCTTCTTGCTCCCGGATCTTGTTTCCTCCGTCCCGGGCACGCATGCCGGCCTGCCCCAGCATGTCTCTCCTCGCCTCCTGCCCTTTCCCTCCCCGGCACCGACATGTTACACGCTGTCAATTACAGGCCAGCATCAGTCAACGCCGGGCGCTTACACACCAGATTATTGTCGATATAGATTTTTAAATAGAAAAATCTATACCTTAAACATCACAGTCAATACGGGCAAATCAATGGGAACGAGCGAGCTCTTGCTCCTGTAGGGCCTGAAAGCCCCCACGCAGGACTGTTTACCTGCTCACTTAATGCTGAGGATGATTAGGCCTGTTTTAATGGAAATTGCTCATAAAATAAATGATTTTGCCATCATCTCTGGTCTTATCATCTTCTCAGTCATGAACAGACAGCCATGTTCTCAAGAAATGCGTGCTGCACACTAAACTGGCATATTCTTAATTATGAAAAATGTGTCATCCTCTGTAGTAGACAACCAGGTTTTATTGTCCTTCTCCCTCCGCTTCACGTATGACAGATGACATCCGCAGGTCCAATGAGGGAGAGGAGGGGAAGGGAGCAAGAGGAGGACAGAGAGGAGATGAAGAGGAGAGAGAAGGAATGGAGACAGAGGAGAGAGATGCAGAGGAAGGAAGGGAGGAAGGAGAGGAGTAGAGGACAATTGATAGAAAAGAAGAGAAGCAAATGAGAGAAGGAGGGGAAAGGGAGGTGAGGCGAAAAGAGGAAAGAGGAGAAAGAAGGAGGGAAGGGAGAAGTGACTAGTTGTCCTTCAAAGACCCCCTTCTCTCCACAGAGGGAGCCATGCGCGCCCCCTTTCCCTCCTCCCTACACTCCTTCCAGACAAAAGCAATTATTTCTTGTAGAATGTAGTGTGGTTGTGCGCGTCTGTGGAAGAGAGGAATGGAGGGAGGGTGTGTGAGATTGAAGGAGGGGAAAATAAGATGGTGTTGGAGGGGTAGAGGAGGATGGGGAGGTGATGAGGAGGAGGAGGAGGAGGAGGAGGGATGCTAACACCTACAGCATCCCCCCCTTTTCGTCCTCCACACACTCTTCTGACCAAACTCTTCTTTTTCCTCCATCTGACACGGCAGCAAAGACAACACCAGAGAAAACTATCAACTAGGTATTCACACGTGTGAAAAGGCACTGCCATCCAAACACCTGCACCTGAATTTCAGATGAATTCACAAATACGCAGTCATTATGCTCCACTATAGATGCTAAACCGACAAACTTTTGAGGTAGAATCAAAACTCTTTCTCTGACTGGCTTCTTGTCTCTCTTGCAGGTCGACAAGTTGACAAGTAAAATACACACACCCAAACACACACAGAATACAAAGGCTATAGTACCTGGAGATGACATCTATCTCGTTTATCTTTGATTCTGTCCATCTGTCTGTCTGCGTCTAGGACAGACCACCTAAATTCAGCGGAGTGCCCCCCTCAGTGCTTGGTGCCTATAGGGCCCCTGCAGCGACTCGGCCTCTACAGTTTCACTCCCTAGGGACCCAGAGAGACCCATGGGCCCAACAAGAGGGAGAGAGAGAGAGAGAGGAAGAGAGGGGAAGACAGATAAAGAGAGAGAGAGCTCCCCTGGGGGGGCCGCTCCAGCCAATAACCCCTGCTGGACCGCTCTCATCGGGGGCCCACACGGTCCTGATTGTCCACCTCCCTCCCTATCAAGCCTCCCAATCCATACAGAGATATATAGCTGGTTCCATTGTTTTCTAGGCTGTATCTTCCCCCTGCTGTATTGAAAAATGCTCTCCCAAAATTGTCTCTCTCTCTCTCTTTTCAGATAGAGAAATACTGTAATGGATGTAATATTGGATACTGGATACTAGCAGTAAAGTTCAGTGATTAAGGATGATTATTGTACATTTGGAAATCACAGAAATAAAATAAAATATTTCTTCAGGAAAAATCTTTCTAAATTTGTATTTTCTCTCTTCTACATAAAATTGGTCGCACTGTTTTTCTATAAATGACTAAATGAATACAACTTTTAGAAAACTGTATAAAGCACTTTCTACATTACTGTACTTTTGCAATTTACTTCTACTTTTACTAGAATTACATACATTTTAAAATGTTAAATAATCAAATAATAATTAATATTAATATAGGCTACAAATTTCATATTTATCTTAAGCAAAATTTACATTTTGAGTAGGAGCTTTACGATTTTATGAATTTACTCATAAAGGCAAATGTATTTTTTATCTGTTGTATTTGTTAACATAAGGAAATCCTGGTATTTTATTACAATTCTTCCACCCCATCAATAATGTATAAAATGTAGCTGCTAAATCAAAAAGTTAATAAAATGTTGCAACCTTTCTTTGCTTTTTTTGTATAGTTAGCAAATGGGAACAATTATTAACAACTTTTGTTTGTATTGTTGTTTATATTTATTTTATGCTGACAGTTGTTATTCAGTAATGATCAGATGCAATTACACATTAATGTAATGCTTTAAATAAACAAAAGTCATGTTAGCCTGCTTGTTAAAATGTACTTTATTTGCAGATCGTGGTTTGGTGACATGGTTCTTCTCTCCTACATTAGTTACAATCAAATTTATTCATAGAAAACAATTTGTTCAATTCTTCACCACAACATGTTTTCCATGTCATGTGCTGTAGGTCAGGATGTGGCATGAAATATTTATCCAATCAGAAAGAGCCAGAAGTATCCTTAGGCTATACATTAGTCATAACATGGGCCATGCATTAGTCATATAGTTTATTGCACTCTTGGTAATTGCCTGTTATTCATTTTGAATGATTGATTTGACTGGTTGAAAACACAGTGTTTGAATATTGAACAAAATAATTTTTATTGTAAATGATGCAGAAGAAGTGAAGGCAACAGCAGGTTCTAACTGAGAAACCACTCTGACTCCGTGAAACGGCGTTTATCTATCCGACTGCGTGTGCGAGAATTGTTTGTGTGTGTGTGCTTGTGCAGTTGCTCCTTGTGCACCTTGTGTGTGTTTTTATGTGTGTGTGTGACCCAGCT